CACACTCACCACTAATCCTGCAATCACTCCCAAACTCAATGCATTACACAGATTAATTGCAATTTACTGCTGTGGTACACACAAACACACACACGCACAACGCAGTAATTTCAGTATGACTGTAACATGTACAGTACCAGTCAAAGGTTTGGACACACCTACTCATTCAAGGGTTTTTCTTTATTTTTTATTATTTTCTACATTGTAGAATAATAGTGAAGACATCAAAACTATGAAATAACACATTTGGAATCATGTAGTAACCAAAAAAGTGTTAAACAAATCAAAATATATTTTATATTTGAGATTCTTCAAATAGCCACCCTTTGCCTTGATGACAGCATTGCACACTCTTGGCATTCTCTAAACCAGCTTCAACTGGAATGCTTTTCCAACAGTCTTGAAGGGGTTCCACATATGCTGAGCACTTGTTGGCTGCTTTTCCTTCACTCTAATGTCCGACTCATCCCAAACCATCTCAATTGGGTTGAGGTCGGGGATTGTGGAGGCCAGGTAATCTGATGCAGCACTCCATCACTCTCCTTCTTGGTAAAATAGCCCTTACACAGCCTGGAGGTGTGTTGGGTCATTGTCCTGTTGAAAAACAAATTATAGTCCCACTAAACGCAAACTAGATGGGATGGCGTATCGCTGCAGAATGCTGTGGTAGCCATGCTGGTTAAGTGTGCCTTGAATTCTAAATAAATCACTGACAGTGTCACCAGCAAAGCACCCCCACACCATAACACCTCCTCCTCCATGCTTTACGGTGGGAACTACACATGCAGAGATCATCCGTTCACCCACACCGCGTCTCACAAAGACACAGCGGTTGGAACCAAAAATCTCAAATTTGGACTCCAGACCAAAGCACACATTTCCACCGGTCTAATGTCCATTGCTCGTGTTTCTTGGCCCAAACAGGTCTCTTCTTCTTATTGGTGTTCTTTAGTAGTGGTTTCTTTGCAGCAATTCGACCATGAAGGCCTGATTCACACAGTCCCCTCTGAACAGTTGATGTTGAGATGTGTCTGTGACTTGAACTCTGTGAAGCATTTATTTGGGCTACAATTTCTGAGGCGGGTGACTCTAATGAACTTATCCTCTGCAGCAGAGGTAACTCTGGGTCTTCCATTCCTATGATGGTCCTCATGAGAGCCAGTTTCATCATAGCGCTTGATGATTTTGACGACTGCACCTGAAGAAACTTTCAAAAGTTCTTGAATTTTTCCGTATTCACTGACCTTCATGTCTTACAGCTTATTTGAGCAGTTCTTGCCATAATATGGACTTGGTCTTTTACCAAATAGGGCTATCTTCTGTATACCCCCCTACCTTGTCACAACACAACTAATTGGCTCAAACGCATTAACAAGGAAAGAAACTCCACAAATTAACTTTTAACAAGGCACACCTGTTAATTGAAATGCATTCCAGATGACTACCTCATGAAGCTGGTTGAGAGAATGCCAAGAGTGTGCAAAGCTGTCATCAAGGCAAAGGGTGGCTATTTGAAGAATCTCAAATATAAAATATATTTTGATTTGTTTGACACTTTTTTGGTTACTACATGATTCCATATGTGTTATTGGTAGGTGTGTCCAAACTTTTGACTGGTAGTATATGTGAACTGATTGACTAGCCTAGTCTGTTTAGCTCTGGCCAGATAACAGAACAGATAAGATGTGAATGAACCATTCTCTCACACAGCACTAGCCTTTAGACCTACCTTTAATACAAGCTACACTTTAATACAGATCCTGGATCAGAACCTCTCCTTTAAGAGGGTGGGTCAGTACTTTGCCTTTAAAAAAAGTCAGTCTCAGAACAGCTGCTGACGCATCCACAGATCTACAGTCAGATTCTCTCTTCTTTCCTTTGTCTCTCTCCCACCTTCTGCTAACATTTTAAATTCTGTCCTGACAGACACATAGGTAGGCAATGGGCATGTTCGAGCTGATCACTTTTTTGAAGGCTGTGAACATCGTTGGTCACCGCCTTTCAAAGTGTGTTGCATTATGGGGATAAAAGTTGTCGGACTTGTGCCTACAGGTCGACTGCATGAACTTTACAAAAATCGCGATCAAAGGTCATGAAGTTTTTCTTCACCAACTTCATCCTGCAGCCATCGCCTGCATTGTGGGAGGCTCTCTTGTTAACCAATCATTAGGGTTTTTTTTTTTTTACCCACGCGAACATGACCAAAGAGGTGACTAAAACAGTAACCAACTTTGCCACGATTAATGTATACAGTGGTATATGTACAAATGAATGTGGTATTTGAGGCACTCTCTCTCTCACCAATTTTTGTACACACATATCTTTTCAGTTTGTGAGTGTGTGATATGGGGGTTGGAGACATGTTCATTTCGTCAATATAAAGAAATTTTTTTATAAACAATGGCAACACTGCCATGTTGCACTGAGCCTCGCTGTTGGAAAACCATATAAGTGTCCGTCTTTCGGCTGTCGCAGATGCACCTCCCCCGACTTTACTCCCCGACTTTCGTCTAGTCAGTTGCTTTTGCCTTACCACTTAAACAAGCCCAATGTGAACAGGTCAGGTCAGGTGCAGAAATACAGGCTGCTTTGCATCTAAAACAACCTCTAGCCTTTCAAGTGAGCTACTAACCCTATGCAAACACATCATAACTGTGTGGATACACAAATATCTTTACCATAACTGGTTTTAAACATATTAGCTTCCTAGAATATCTAAGTCACAAAATTAATGTTTGAATTTAAACAAGGAAAATTAGATACTTAGGCCTGGAGCTACATCGTGTAAATACATTGCAGTTTAGCCCAAAGTTGCACCTTAACACAGAATAAGACCTGGAGTGGCCCGTCAGACACTCATTCTCCATCTCATGAACATGCTGATAGGGAGCCGCGAGCGCTCCTGTAGGCCTGCAACGTTTGCTCCTAAAAGGGGATGGGGTGGGGGAGGGGGATCATGATTAACCTGGCTGTTTCGTTGTGAGGAGTCTCATTCTGGTCACTTCAGGACAGGACAGTAGCAGGTCAGCTTCCCTCTGGAAATAATTCATCCATTAACAGAACAACAGTGAGGAAGCGCTATAAAACTAAATCTCTGATCCATGGAAACAGGAGAGAACATGGTGCTGCTGAGCAACACTAACATGGCAGCCACTAACCAAGTCAAAGTAAGTGTCAATGACAAAGTACTCTGTCTGGGGTATACCTGTCACCTACCTACCCATAACCCCCTGCTCACATCCCAAGCTCAGACCCCATGTCCCTCCCATCTATAATGTGTAATAGCCTAGCTCTCTGTGTCTCTTCGTGTCTGTGTGTTAGAGGCTGTGTGTGGATGGTGAGATCACAGTACACTCAACCAGTTGATTAATTAGGGCTATCTCAGGTCAACATCTCTAATGGACAGGAGCTATTTTTCTGTCCATTATCGGTCTCCTCGACAACATTGATCGTCAGTGTGTTGAAATCCTGGAAACAAGCTGAGCAGACACACACATGGATTGATTTCTGTCTCTGTATCTGTTTGTCTCTATATCTTTATCTCAGACAAACTTAGGGATTTGGAGACAGAATGGAAGACAAAGACAGAGAGACAGATGGGAATCAGAGTTAGAGAGAGAAAATGAGAGAGATAAAAAAGAGAGAGAGAGATAACTATAGGGAGAAGAATGATATCACGGAGAGGGGAATACAAGCTGATGAGTAAGCAGAAGTGGCGTTGACAGACTTACATAATTTCCTCCTCATCTCCTAGCCGACCATGCCTAACACACTTAG